TGTAGCAGATACATGAAGGAAGGAACTTGGAACGAATGTATGAATGTGTGTAAGTGCATAATTAGGTACGTATGTGTATGTGTAGGGAAGCGAAAGATCTAAACCTCAGGCTGGCAATCTAATCGAAGTCGTACATACTATACGTACACTAAACTTCTTTCGGACCGCTAAACATGAGCCCAGCTCAGTGGGTACCGGGCCTTCGCAGAAGTCCATCAGCAACGCGAACCTGGCGAAGAGCAGGACTTCTCTGCTCCCCAAACCCATGGACGGGGTCAATGCCCAGACGTCGAAGCCGGTCAAGTGTTTGTATGAGCTCGGTACCCGAGATGGAATGTCAACTACTGGATAATCTTGCGAACTTGTATCCGTATGTTGGTTGAAGGAAACGTCCTGGCGGAGCCAAGAACACCACCATGAACCCTCTGCCAAGTCTAAGTATGCGCGGGCGGACCAACCAGCTTCTGTAAAGCTGTCCCGGTAACGCACGATGTACCTGATTTGCTGAGCTTGGGATCATCTATTGGCTCCGGGTTGGATGATTCATGGCCTAAATCGGGTGGGGTGCTACTACACGAGGATCCACCCTTCGGCTCATGAGCTACTCATGAACACATGACGTGAGAAGACGGCGATGCTGCAAAAGAACTGCAGGACGCACTCAGCGACGACAACCGACAAAAAAACTTTGGAGATACATGAAAATGGCTGTCCAATGTCAATCGCAGCAATTCTTCACTTAGGACCTTGATGGGTTTCCGCATCTGCTTATCACACTGTTCCGGAACACTTTGGATGCCCGTCAGGATTCCGCCTTTGCGGGAATACAGAACTGGGCTGCCCCACGGATGCTTCAGCATTGCCAGGCATGTGCCCTGCGCCGAATCCCACAACAGGCACAGAAAGACGAGGCTACGGCGTGTAAAAGGTTGTGTTGATGTGGTCGGTGGGCCCGTATGGAACGGCGTGATTCCCGAATGCTGCTTCGCAATGCGAGTGTTTCTTGTCTGAGTGGCGTAACGGCGCATGGAAGGCTGCTTCCCACGGACCAAGCATGCCATATACGGCCCTAGGGTCCCTCTCCGGCTTTAAGGCCGGAAACTGGGTTTGCATGTGTCTCGCCTCCTTGACGGCGTCTCGCAGCTCCTGAGGCCCAACGGGTTCCGCAGTTCTGGGGTTACTCGAAAGGCTAGCGGCAAGGGTTTAGGTCGGTTTAGTCCACAGAATTGAAGTCGAGGTTTGTGTCTCAGCAACAAAAGAGGTTTCCTTAAAGTTGACCCGGACCGTGTCTCCTTGGAAGATGCTCGGCTCACGTCCACGAGCTTGCACCTGGACACATTTCTGCCGCTCCATACAGCACTGTGACAGGATTTGGCCGATTGCTCGACCCTCGAAGCTCGCAGACTCGCAAGAAGCATCAGTTCTGGCTTCAAGCACCGTCAGCTAGATGCTGTCGATGCCCACAAAAGCCATGATCTCCAAGTGATAAGCGGCGGACACCATCTTCGCACCGTCTTGGTTCTGGACCTGCAGTGGCCGGGCTGAGGTCATGAGTTCTACAGGCTTCATCATTGTGCCGGAGCAATGTCTATCGCTGGGAGGTTGTGATCCAGTGCGCGTTGCTTGCCACGTCGAAAAAAAGCTTTCATTTGCATTCTCACTTTCGCATCATCGAATGTGGCACGAAGCAGCCAGGAGACATGACCACTCACAGAACTGACACAACGCTTGCGCCAAACACATCACCGGCGTCTATGCTAAATCCATGGCAAAACATCATATGCCCAAAGGCTTGGGAACATCCGGTTAAAGCTTATCATCCATCTCGAGCAAACCTCGATGTCTCATACTGTGAACCCATATGGGATATGAACCGTAAGCTCCTGCAGGGTTGAATGGTCTTTAAGGACGGTCCCCGGCTCTAGTAGCCACCATGGCTTCACCCGACTTCCCGCTTCTTGGAGCCCCTGCCAGGATGGCACGGCCGAAGGCACCCTCGCCTTGCCAGGCAGGGCGCTGGCGAAGGGCTTCAGCAGGTTTTATCAGTTTTTGTTTGTAGTTTTGCAAATCTTTTCTTCTCACAGGAATATACAGGAACGTCAAATTCCATAAAGAAACCTATGTCTCAGGAACCAATAGTCCAAGGACTACTGTTGGGATTCGCCGCACATAATCAAAAGAATTTCCATTTGTTCTATTCACAACACATAGTTGGAAGCTGATGGGAGCTGCAGGCTTCAAAAGCCGATCATTTCATCTTTTGCTAGGTCCGTCGCGTCTCGACGGGGTGCTTCTTCAGAGACTTGTGCAAGGCAGGCCTGTGCCAAGCTCCGGACAAGAAGCTGTAATGGAGAGGAGATCACTACAGAGCCAGTCGTCGACGCAGAACTCGTCCCGCGCAGCTCGATCTGCCAACCTGTTTGGTTTCGCTGCCCCATCCCCAAGCCTTTTACGGCTAAAGCTTTCTCACAAGCTCCTGAAATTCTGTTTGGCGTTGCAGGGCCCTTTCTCCATAGTCGCTGATGTTGAAGCGGTGTCCAGTGGCACTTGTTCGCCCATCTCGTCCACTTTGCACTCGTCGGTCTCCCGCAAGTGGGCAAAATGCAGAAGCTCAGACCAAAACCATGTGGGGGTCTGGCTGACGAAGCACCTTGACGAAGACTTTCAAGCTCGAGGACCTGCGATAGTCTTCGAGCAGCTTTTTCGCACGGGGGGAGCAGGACCACCACGGCGTCGTAGAGCTCGTGAACGGATGGAAGCCTTGTGCGGTCCAGAAATCTTCTGCACCGGACAGTGCCTTCAATACGAAGAGCACCAGACCTTGTTGCGGGTTAAAGCTTTCACCAACTTTGAAACCATGAAAAACACTTACCTACATGCTTTCATGTACATGCATGCGTGAAGGCTTAATGGGTTCCGGTTTGAAGGTGTAGGCGACGGACCTAGACTGGGGCCAAGCAGAAAGAAAAAACTGAAAGAGAAACACGCACCAATAACCAAACATACTTCAGCCATCAACAAAAACTGATCAGGAACAGGCTTCAACCTTGCAGTCAAACAAGCAAAGTAACACGGCGTCACGACCAGAAACCTAACATTCAGAGTAATGCCAAAAACACGATAAATACGTCACGAGAAGCAAAGCCGAAATCAACGTTACCAGAAACCACTGAGCCAGGCTATGCCCACAACCAGCAACCTCCGAAAATGGAAACCTCCAAGAGGAACCGCTACTAATTGACGGCGTTTTGGCAAGTATCGTTCGCATAACATATTTTTGTCGCAGCACCACACTTAAATGTTCACAAGAATGGATGCCCAGCATTTTGGGGAGCTTTTGGTTTTGCCAACCGCCGCAAGCTTCGTTTCGACTTTGCTGGCATGTTTCGCTCGCAGCGCTGCGCTCAAACACAAAACAATTCACATGCAGCTGGTGTTCATGAGACGTTTAGGTCTCCTACAAAAGCACGCAGCGACAAGTCTCGTTTCGTCTCTTTTTCTGTTTTGCGCAGAATGCCGTGATCAAACACAAAACCAAGCACAAGCGGCTGGCAGTCAAACGAAGTTTTGGTCATTCCACAAAACTGGCAAAACCACCTTGCCACAATTTGCGGATGGATGTTTCTCACACGCTTCGGTCACCACGCTGCGCTCACGCAAAAAACGCACCACATGCCGCAAACAATGCTGGGATGTCTAAGTTTTTGCCAAATAGCCCGCCACAACTGCTAGGCTCAGTTATTCTCATGTGCCGCGCTGGCAATGCCAGACTCGAACACAAACCAAACCACATGCGGCTGGCACTCGTGGAGGATCGTGGTCTTGGCAAAATACGCCCTGCCAACAGCTATACATGTTTTGTTCTGAACGCTGCGCCCGAACACCAAAAAAAATTCATGACAACTGGAACTCATGGGGAGTCCTGGTCTTGGCTAAAAACACCTTGCCGCAAGTCTGGTTACGACGCTTGTCGCATGACGCTCGAAACACCGCGCTCAAGCACAAAACGAATCACACGCGGCTGGCGTTCAGACGAGGTCTGGTCTTGGCCTACAGCACCTTGCCACGAGTTTCATTATGCCTCTTCGCACGTGCTCCACTCGCAGCGCTGTGCTGAACACACATGGTTGGCATGGCACTGTTGCCGAAACAGCCCGCCGCAAACGCTTGCACCGGCACACTTACAAAACAAATCACACGCGGCTGTCACTCATGGGAGGTTGCGGCCTTGGCCAAAAACTTTTTGCCACAACCGTGTTGACTCATCTCAAACGTTTCGCCTGCAACGCCGCGCTCAAGTAAGCAGCAAGACAATTAAAGCCCGAAGCAAGGAAAACCGGAAGTCAGCAAAGCCGGGCGCCACCAAAAACGGTGACACCCAACAATAGCGGAAGCCGGAAAGCGTCGTTTATCTTTTTCGTTAAAAGGCGTTCCGGTTTCCGATGTTTCGGGTTTTGGGCGTTTCTGGTTTCCGGTTTCGAGATTTTCTGGTATTAATTGTCATTGAATTTATCTAGGTAACTGTGGCGTGTCCGGCTAGTTTTGGAAGTTTCTGGTTTTAGTAGTTTTCGGTTTCGCTGATTTCCGGTTTTGTTCACTTCTGGCTTTGCTGATGGGTAATTTCGACTTCTGGCATCGACGGGCCTTCCTAATTATTTACACGCTCGTTTCATCATGAACCTAACGCCATGATTGTGATCTGCTCCGGTTGAAGTCTACGTTTCTCTGGCTTCCGAGGTTGCTGGGTTTGGGCATTTCGCGCTTTAGTGCCATCTACTTGGGGCACAGGAGCCACAAGTATTTAACAGAAACAAATTTTACCTGCCTTGTTGCTGCGCGATGCTGTCAAGGCGTGTCAATGCCATTCTTCCGGCGCCAACGCCGCAGCTGCCCAAGGAGATGATCTCCGCAGTGCCATCGAGGAGCGTGTGCCAGACCATCGCGCCCCAAGATCGGATCATGAAAAGGGCTTGATTGCAGCCCGTGCGCCAGTGCCTCCACTAGCCCTCTGCTGCTTCGCTCATTTCCATGCGAGCATACATGGTTTGGGTGCAAGCATCAAGTAATCGGACGCCGAGTTCCGACTCTTGGAGCTCCGCCGCATCCGCAAGGTACGTTTCCCCGCTCTCCAGGGCACTTGTGATGGCTTCCCACTTTTCCAGATGCTCCACATCTGCTGCCTGCTTTTCAGCGACAGTGGTGTCAAATGCTTCTTGGTAAACCCCGGCCCGAGCGGCGAGGCGCCAAGTGCGTCTCAACTGTGCCGCGCTGTGTCGTTTGTACGCAAACTTCTCCATGAGGTGCTGGTTCATCTGCGTGTCCCACTGCTGAGCACGATGCCTCAGCACTAGGATAAGGCCCAACACCAAAGCCCAACCGACAACGGCGAGAGCGACCCAAACGCCAGAAGCATCGCCTGTGGGAGCTGCCGAAACATGCATAGCCTGGTTCGCCAAGGCCACTAGCACAGCCGGTTTGGGAGTTTGCAAGCATGGGTGATTGAGCTCGATCGGCCCATTTGGGGCTTCGCACAGCATGATGCTCGTTCAGGCGGCCACGCACCGAGAAACACCAGCTTGTAGTTTTGAGGCCAATGGCTGCAACAACATGCGACCCCGCGCAAGATTACAGCTTACCGCTAACCAAGATGAGCAAGCACTCTAGTCTGAGTGGTGGCTAGCAAACACAACCGCTCGAGATCAACACAAACAGGCTACCCGCAAATCTGAAGCAGTTGCAGGTTGCAAGAAAGAGGTCAACGGTTTTGGGTGCGGAGACTTATGGCCTGTGGTTTCGGAAAGCACGCTGCAGGTCCTGAGTCAGATTCGCGCTGGACTGCGCACTGAAAGCGAATGCAAAGGTGTTGTATTTCCTGGGAGAGTTCGCTGGGAGCCATTAATAACAATACTAACAGTAGTCATAATAACAGTAAGCATCTCCTAATGACGTCATCAGAATCACAGTATTATTGCTATAAGAATAAGCAAAATGGTCATAGAAATATAAGAGCAACAACCAAAGCGTGATTGTCATGGGCCGGCAAATCAGAATTCGCAGAACGCCTCTCCTGTCTCCCAGTCATTGCTAATACCATCATTGTTACTATTGCGATTACTTGATTACTACTATGATCATTATGATTATTACTATTACTCTTATTACTAGAATTATACTACTGACCACCATTACCCTTACTACTATCATTGCTAAGGCCTCTGCTCACGATCAAACACAGCTGCTGTTGGATCACCACCGTTTTTCCAGTACAGTTTGGGCCTGATTGACGAACAACAAGAATAACATGTTTCGGAGTTAGGGTTTAGGGGCTTAGGAGTTTGTAAGAATAACAACAAGAATAATGATGATTATTATACACACAGCGGTAACAATGGCAATAATCATCATCGGACTCATCATCGCCATAGCGATAACAAGAGTTCGATGACTGCCGGGGGCGCAATCGAAACAAGTCTATTTGTGAAGCCTCACTTCGAAACTATCGTCCCTGACAATGAACCGTGGCGGACTGGCAAGCTGCAAGCAACCAGCACAATAACAGTGATATTAATAGTAACAATGTAAGGAATACGAGTTATAGTGGTAATAATAGGAATAATGCAAGAAACTGATGATATGTGGGGAACCCGCCTCAAGGCTTTATAGGGTTTCCACAGTTGCGGGAGGGCTTATAATTGCGGCGTCTAGGGTTTAAGGCATGTAGCGTTTCGGAGTCAAGGTTTGGGGTCCTTTTGGGTCTGTTGGGCGGGGTGTCCCTTGCTCCCCCAGGCGGTTCCATTCTCTCCGAGTTCAGCTCATGATCCTCTTGCTCCAGTTACCCAAAAAACCCGAAGCCCACAACGGCAACTCGGTGCCTATTCGGTCCAGCTCTTCGTAGCCCTTCTGCTTGAGCAGTGTCGGGACCTGAGCGGCCAGGCTCGTGTTCCTCAGGATTCCGGAAGTTGAGTTTCATGTGTTTATACATTTATACATACATGCATACCTACCTACCTACGCACGTACATACGTACGTACCTACGTACATTAGATACATGCATAAATGCATGCATGCATGCATACATACATACATGCATACATACATACAAATATACAAACATACGTACATGCATTGCACATGTGTATATATATATATATACGTAGACGAGTTACACACATAAATGTGTGTGCATATGTAGATGAACAATAGTAGTGCAGTAGTAATGCCGTCGCAGTGCAGAGGTAGCAGTCGGAGGCATCTTGGGCACTGGACTGTCAAGGGCCTGCTTTTCCTGCAAAGTCGATGAAGTTACCAGATCGTTTTCGACCCTGTGACACAACGATTCTAGTGGTAGCAATGAGAAATGCTGGTAGCAAAACGCAGCACGAACAAACTTCAGATCTCTGCGGGGATGCACAGGTTCGCCTTATCGTGATTGGCATTTCGCGCTATCGCGGCACATCCAAATCAAACATGAACCCTTCAGCCTGCCCGCTGTCGCGGCCCGCAGGCCAGTTGGCTCTTCAGTATCCCAGTTTCTTGCATCTTGGTTCGTGCCGATAGAGAGCAGCCAGTCTTTTCGCAGCATGTCTTCAACGCCTCGTTTGACACCTCAAACCGCTTCCAACTTTCGAAGCCCTCAAACCTCAATCCCCACACACCCAAACCCCAAAACTCCTACTACCAAGCCTATGAAAAAAACAAAACCCCCATGAGACTCCATGATGCCCGCGAAGAGCCCCAAACGGCTTTCACCGAGCTCTTGGCATCCATGCGCGACGCCATGCAGCCGGGAGCCTGACGTCACGGTGCTTCGAGGATCATGCGACGTAGGGTAACTCGGTTTGGTCTGGGAGGACGGAGGCTGACTGTTCTCTGCCCGGTATGTTCGGGGGTCTAGCTTCACCAGAAGATACGAAAAGCAATTCCTAAAGACAGGCCCTGGAAGGCCTACTGACCTTCTGCCAACACTCTTACAAATGCTCGGTAAATGCCAGGGTGCCGGACTGGGGGGGGGAGCGCACCGCAGCCAAACTTCGAGGGTCGGCCGGTGGCTCTTGGCTAAAGGCGCTTCAGGTCCAGAGGTAACGCAGCTGCAGCACGGGAAAGACTCAGTCATAAATCCTTGTGGCAGTTGCATGGAAGAGAAGCAAGACCTGCAAGAAAGCAACAATTTACGACCAGAAGACTACAACAGTGATCGAAATGCGTTTCTGCTTACCTGCACCTCTCTACCAATGGAAGGCCCTTCCTTCACATACCGTGGAAGGCCACCAAACCCTAGCGGCCCTAACGAAAACACCACGCAATCTGCAAACCGTTTGTATTCATCTCATATCCTAAACACAGATGAAGCCCAAGTCATGTTTGGAGCTCGGTAGGAACTTTGGCCGAGGTTGGGCAGTCTCCGGGCAATCGCAAAGGCGGCTACGCCGGCGTCGAGAGCGGTGCGGCGAGAGCCGGCAAGGTACAGGAACTTACATACATCTGCTCTCACCTTCGTTAAGGGCCAGGGTGAAAGTTAAATATCATAGTTCAAGCTTCGGAAAACAAGAAGTAATACTATGTTCAAACTCCCTGCATGTGGTGCTGTGCCATCTTCATCTTCGCCGCTGCATCTCTCGACTGGAGGCACCGAAATCTTGCCTAAGAGAGAAGCCCCAACTGAAAGCTTCCGTGGTGCGACGGGTCGTGCAGGGATTGATGAAGACTGTCTGGGCTTAAAATTGTGGGGCAGTGCACCACCACGACGACCAGGACATAAAGCTTGCCTGGCATGGGCTTTGTGCATGCCATAACTCATGTTTGATACGTTGGGGGTCTGCGGCTATGGACTTCAATCAGCTATTTGTGTGGCTCGGATTTCGGTGCCAAAGCCCTGCATTTTGTACAGCTCCACATAACAAGGTCCGGCTCCAAGCCTTAAAACCGCTTGCCGATGCTTCGGGGTTTGGGGAATGTGGCATTTTCAACCCAAAAATCTCACATTTGGCAGTACAACAAGGAACCCCTATACTCCTACACTAGTCAAAACCTTCATAGTAGGATCCTCATTGCAAAGACCCCTGTAAAAAGTGATCGGGCTCTATCGAAACCGCCACACACCTTAAAAGCCATACAAAACAGCATAAAGCCCCACAACACCACTCTCCAAAACCATACAACACCCTTTTAAGCTTCAAAGCGCCTTCAAGCCCCCGAGAGCATGCCAGCGTAGATTCACAAACGATGGTAGAGCACCGCGACGACACGACCAAAACCACCAGGAACACCAAGACGATCATCGCGACCACGGCAACAAGGACGACTGCGACCACCACAGAAAGACCGCCACAAGTTTTCAGGAGATTGAGAGAGACCACCAGCCGACCGCGGGAAAACTGCCTCCCATAAAGTCGCTGAAGCCGCTGCAAACTTCAGATCCCTGAAACCTCAACTCAAGGAGGCGGACCTTCCTGGCTTTGCTCAGACCGGGAGATCGGACCCCACAAGCAAGTACTGCAATTTTGTTAAAGTCCTCGATATCGGAACGGTTTTGGGTTCAGGGCTTCCGGGGCTCATTGGGTTATTGGTTTTCGGGTTTGTAGGGTCCAAACTGTTCGTGCCGCAGCTCTGCTTCAGGGTCCGAAACCTCCAGGCTTTTTCCGCGCGGGCAACGCCACTGTAGGCCGGCAGCCAACGGCAGCTCGTCAATGGGGGCTCACGACTTGGGGAGCTTCTCGGGACGTAGCCGGCTCGGGGGTGCTGGCTCTTCTGGACCTAAAATAAACTTCTGCTTGATGGGCTCCAGAGGAGCTTGGACAGCAGTCTGACAAGCTGGCAAACCAGCGTTAGCTTACATCGAGCTAGGAGACCCCTGAAGGCCTGAAGGCTTCATCACCATGTCCACTCCATTTCCTGTTGATGAATCTGTACCCCCGGAGCTGCCGCGGATCGTCGGCCGTGCAAGCTGCGCCACTGGTTGCACTTGCAGGCCTACTTGCGCTAGCTTTGCACTATGAACTGTCGCCCTTTGTCCACAAATACCCATTCAGCAGGCATGGAGGGAGTCGGGGATGTCCAGGGCTACTGGAGCCAACCGGGCGCAAGGTGCAGGCAACCGGCAACCAGGGTGCAGCTCGTGCAAGCTCGGGTCTTCTCAGCTTCGGTTTTGACCCGAAACCTCAACCCTTCGGTTTAGCATCTTAGTAATTTATAAGGGGCTTGACTATATGGAGCCGTAAGATTACACAACATCCTGTCAGAGCATCAATGTCCCACGGGTAATGGCCGCAAGACAGACAGATTTCGGATGTAGGTCACCATTCTACATTGCTGGAGACAAGCAGCTACAAGTTGCGGGCACGAGAACCAAGTACTCAGACCTCAAGATCTTTCTTTAGACTCTTCTGATCAGAAGCTGAGACGGCTTGCGCTCCTTCAGCAAACGGAGCAAAAACTGCAGACCTAACCTCGACGAAGCGCGACGGGGTGAGGCCCGGGAGTTTATGCGAACTAGGATCGCGGACGGCGATAAGGTCTCCAATCTAAAACTCTAGTTCAGGGGACTCGTGCAAGAAGACCTGCACTTTCAGTCTCAGAACTGGTTCCAACTCTCCAGATAGAGTATGTAGAGGGTTGAGACGTCGCAACTCCATACCTACACTGGACCTACACATTGTAATGAAGCCTATCTAACCCCTCCCTGCGACCCAGGCCGTCTCACAGGGGCAAACTGCTGGTTTGTGACGCTTGTTTAGAGGCTTGGGAGTTGTGAACCCAGGCAGCACCGATAGTAGGCACGCTTCGTCCCTCTGTCAGCCTATGCGCAGTGAGCTAGTACAGCTCAGAAAAGGCAATAAAAAACTAAAGAACCGACACCGCAAGATCTAGCTTGACATTGGCTTGGGACCGATCCCATGCAACACATCTTCAATTCTACACCTTATCCACTAACCTGAACGACCGCTAAATCCTCAGCTCGTAAGCCTGAGTGGTCGAAGTCACAATCATCGTGCAGTACGTCCTCAGCTTCACTCGGGAGCTTGTGAATCCATGAATCGCGGTCGCGAACCTCGAGAAGTAAAAACCTAATTATGATTAAGGAGAGACCGTCAACCCGTGTAGCCCGGAAGGACAGGCGCGCACCTAAACCTGAAACCATCCTCATGATGGTGCTTGTGGAGATTCAACGCTGCGAGTTGGCAAGTGTGGCAGCTTCAGTTCGTACTCAACAAAACCCTAGCAAGACGGACTGGCAGACGTGGGCGACGAATTCGCTGAGACCGGGACCAATCTAAGCATTGACACCAACTTCCTCAGGTTGCAGTCAATTCGGCTCGAGCTTCTGTGCACCAAACAGGAATTCCTGCAGACAACTTACCTGGACTTACCTAGAATCAAGTCCTTGAACCCCAAACCCCAAGACACTGCTCGGCTCCCTTCGAAGCAAGGCACCTCCGCAGAATGCTCCTGCCCAATGAGCAGCTTTCTCAGAATTTATCTCTCAAAATGAGGGTCCAAAGTTTGCACTCAAAACGGCAGGGGACTCGTAGCATTGAGACCCAAAGGGGTACAGCAACTTCGGGAGTTTGCTCGCTGCAGTCTGCCATGCAGGTCCAGCTCCTAAGAGCACCTGACGTATACTGGCGAGCTCTGTGACATTGATGCCAAGTTGCCAGGTTGTTTCACCGAAGTCCCGAAACATAAAGGCTTTTTGATCTGAAACTGGCTAACCCGTGATGTGTCCCGTCCCAAGACGTCTCCCCACCGACCTACCCTCCAAATAACCAAAAGCACTTGGGGATCTTTCACATGAACCCGCCATGCAAAAAGATGACTTCGCTCGATCGTCCTCCTTTGGAGTGCCATCGAAGAAGGCGACAGCAGCCTGTCAGTCGAGGTGCTGGTCATCTTTACGGCTTTGGAAATCGCAAGCAAGGGCCTCAAACTCTGAGACTCTAAGACCTCGAAATTTTGAGACTGTGATTGAGGGCCTTTTCAGCGTAGCGCTGTGCCTGAACCCTTATGGGCTTCAAGGCTTCGGGCCCTCGTGCTGGGGAAAACCAAGATCTAGTGCAGTTTGACAGTGTGGTACAAAACATGCCACGATGTCACGAGCAGGTCCCCAACGGCCCGAAAACCAGCTTCAAGCCAGTGCCTCAAACCGCTACATCGCTCAGCGATCACTACCGAAACCTGCAAGAAGCAACGCCTCTTGGAAAGCAGCTGAGAGTGTCACTTGCACCTTGAAACTCTAAGACCCCCTAAACGCCTCACAAGCCCCAAAGCCCTGAGCCCTCAAAACCCCAAAGCTCCGCCAACAAAAACACTAAGCCCCCTATCTAAAGCAGCACTGGCACCTGCCAGAGGGCCGGTGGGAAGCGACAAGAGAAGGGCGGGAGGCCGTCCGGTGGGCGCGCCTTCTGTCAAAGCAAGAAAAAACAAGCACGCTACATCTTGCTTGGTAATGGTTCGGGGGCTTACTTTTGCGTTTTATCGGCCCTTTTCCCTCCGCTGTTGAGGGGTTACGGTATGCTGTTGGTTTTGCTCTTATCGGTTTTGTGACAAGGAGAAATTAGGTTTTACCAATGTATGAAACTGTTGCGGCATAGCACCGCTCCAGCCAGCTGACAGGAGTTTTGGAGTTTGAGCTCCGAAACGACCGGAAGACCGCCAGACGACTTGTGTTTTGGAAAATAACCGCACCCAAAAAACTATGTGTTGTAGATTCCCGATGTCTTTCGGAGGATTTAGGAGAAGTGCATGTCAACACGGCTTCATCTCCAAGACCGGTGGACGCTCTCGTCTTGGAAAGGTTCGTCGCCATTGCCGCAAACTTGCCTGCAAGCTCCCTGCAGCACCCTCGCCTCCTCCCCTTGGGCGATCTGGGCGTTGAGGAAGTTCTTTAGGAGCGAGAGATTCATCTCGCTCCTGCCATAGCTGCGGTTTCCAAGCTACGGGCACCAGAATCTTGAGGTCCCCCAGGGGGGCCTGAGAACGTCAAGGTTCTGCTCGGACTCGTAGCCTTAGCTGCACTTCTCACGGTCATTCATTATATTCATTATTCATTACCGACTCTGGACGAGCAATCGCTTCCACTTCGGCTCTTCTGACCGAACTCGGCTCCGTGCAGGAAGCAAGGATCGTGGGGAAGAGGATGCTCTTGCCCCGCTCCTCCATGAAGTAATGCAACGGCCTGGTCTCACGAGCTTATTCTAACTAATTACTTTTCGAGTCTGAGGCCGCTCTTCTTGGTCCAGTGTTGTCCCTTAACAAGCCTTGCACCGAACGTCTTGAGACTCTCGGGGCATCCATTAGTAGCGTCGGCCATGGTCTTCCAATGGAAGGCATGGAGGAGGGTTCTGGATGAAGGGATGAAGGGACTGAATTCCGAAATCTGACCTGGTTCTTGGCCAGCGCGACTAGTCCAGGCATTCAGGGCTCTCAGTATGCAAGAGCCCTACACATGCCCTCGCTTCCGGATCTCAGAAGATTCATTCCAACTCATCAATATCGTACGTGGGCATCTGAAAGCATGAACCCGTAAACCCTAATTCCCTAATCCTTCGCACCTAGAGCCTACCTCGATCTGGAACCCAAACTAACCTGAAACATCCTGAAACCGTAAACACTCAACTACATCAACCTTCCAAAACCCTACATAAATTAAACATCTGGTAAGGCTCTAAGACACTCTCCGAAGGTCCGAAGGTAAGCAGGTCTCAACTCTGCTGGGCCCCCGAGCAATGCTGCGAGGCGGCAGAGCAGCACCTTCCAAGGCTTCCCATAACTGATAGGGTTTATAGGGTTTAGGGTTGCTGGGCGTATCAGGGAAGTTCCCAGATGTAGAGCACGCACGACGCAAGCATTTGCTGTTCCGACCAATGTGGTTTTGAGCTGTCACAGGCAATGAGCGCCAGAGATCCAATGCTTGGGAGTTGGTTCCGGGGCGAGGCCTGGATGCGGTTACCCAAAACCCAACCACGCGACTCCCCTCTGCCTGGCCCTCGCCGTAGCAGAGGATAGTCTGGTTCTGCGGAGCTTCGAGGCAGTAAAAGCCTGGGCAACAAGTCCCTTTAAAGTTTTGGTTGCGGGGCTTTTCTTCTGGCTGACGGGATTGAGGTGAGGATGCAGGATGTGGGGCTTCTTGCTGGACATTGATTGGGCTCAAACGTGTCAATTTTGGTAGCCGCTGAACGTAGACCTAGCCAGCCATCTCTCGATCTTTCGCTCTCGTGCTCGCTCTCCCTCCTTCTTCCTTCCTTGTTCAGCTGGACTTGCACGCTGGAGGTCATTGACATCTGGTGCGAAGTCGATGCATGAAATGTCGGCTGGACATCTTGTCACACCAAACCTTTTACACTCCACAGCCCCAACCCACCTTGAGACTACCTATGTGTCCTCTCTCGCTCTGCCTTCCACCCAACACGGAGCATATGCTGTACTGTTGTACTGCTCTGGCTTTGTCCTTTCGCTATCATGTTCGCTGTCTCACTCGTTCTCTTTTTCTCTCATTACAGTGTTTCCTTTCTCTATTACATATATACCTATGGCCCGACAGACCTACCTACCTACCTACC